TTCTTTTTTTTTTTTTTTTTTTCAGCTTTAATTGAGTTTATTGGTACATTTTAGGGATACAGTACAGTTGCATTCATTGTTGGGATCTTGTACCTCTATATGACAAGTCTTGATTCTCATTTTTTCCCTTTACCCCTGCCCTCCCTTCAACCCCTCCTCCCCTCCCCATCTACAAGTGTTTGTAGATGGGGAGGGAGGGGAGGAGGGGACAAACACTTTATTTCTATTTTTTCATTTTGTCATATTTTTTTCTTTTCCCTTATTACCTTTCCCATTTTCCCTACACCTGTAGTCCTTTTCTTCCTGTTTCACATGGTCAATTATCTCATTAGGATCTTATGTACTATTATAGCTTTTCACACCAGAGAAACTATTTGGTATTTACACATGTGTAACTTATTTATTTCACTTAGGAGTATATCCTCAATATGTACCCATTTTCCTATGAATGAATCTAATGGAGTTGTATTCCATTTTATAGAAAAACCACATCTTCTTTATCCAATTTCCAACTGATGGGCAAATGGGCTGTTTCCAAGTTTTGGCTATTACAAACTGAGCTGCTACAAACATGGGTGCGCGTATATCACTGTGGTATGATTCCTTTAATTCTTTTGGAAAGATACCCATCAGAGGGATGGCTGGGTCAAATGGAACCTCTGGTCCCAGCTCTTTGAGGTATCTCCATATTGATTTCCATAGTGGTTGCACCACCCTGCACTCCCACCAACAATGGAGGAGGGTTCCTTTCTCCCCGTGATGCCACCAACATTTGTTACTGTTTGATTTCTTGATAGCAGCCATTCTTTGTGGGGTGAGGTGGAATCTCAGTGTTGTTTTCATCTGCATCTCTCGAATGACCAGTGATGTGGAACATTTTTTCATATATTTACTTGATTCTTTTACTTCTTTGTCTGAGAAATGTCTGTTCATTTCAGATGCCCATTTTTAAATTGGGTCTTTATATTCGGGGGTGCTGATTGTTTTGAGTTCTTTATATATTCTAGATAATAGTCCTTTGAGGAGCAGCTGGTAAAAAATTTTTCCCACATTGTAGGTTGTCTCTTAGTTCTGTTGATGGTTTCTTTTGCAGTGCAGAAGCTTTTTAATAAGATGAGATCCCAGTTGTTTGTTGATTCTTTCTGCTAGTTCCCGTGCTGCTGAGGATTTGTTCATAAAGTCTTTTCCTATGTCAATGTCTTCAAGAGTTCTGCCTACCTTATCTTCCAGCAAGTTTCGTGTTTCTGTTTTAATATTTAGATCTTTAATCCACTTGGATTTTACTTTAGTGCATGGTGAAAGATAAGGGTCCAGTTTTAATCTTTGGCAGGTTGAGATCCAGCATCCCTGGATCTTTTTTAAAAATTTTTATTTTGATGCTGGCCATAGTGGCACATGCCTATAATCCCAGCATTCCCAAGGCTGAGGATCACCACGAGTTCAAGGCCAGCCTGGGTGGGCTACATTGTAAGTTCAAGGTCAATATGAACTTCACAGTGAGACTCTGTCTCAAAAATCCCCTGACACTCCCTCCAATTTTTTTTATTTATTTTTTATTTATTTATTTATTTATTTATTTATTTATTTATTTATTTATTTATTTATTTATTTTAATTTTGAAAGCCAGGCATGGTAGAGCATGCTTGTAATCCCAGGGTTTGGAAGGCTGGGGCAGGAAGGTTGCTTTGAGTTTGTGGCTAACCCTAGGCCAACATGGTTCAAGGGCATTCTGGACTACATAGCAAGACCTATCAAAACAAATTTTGCTGGCTGTAGTGGCACATGCTTATAATCACAGCACTTGGGAGGCTGAGGCAAGAGGATCACTGAGAGTTCGAGACCAGCCTGTGCTACATAGTGAATTCCAGGGCAGTCTGAACTACATAGTGAGACCTGTCTCAAAAACAAAAAACAAAAACTTTTTTTTTTTAATTTTGAGACAATTTGTTGCTGAATTGAGCAGAACTGGGCTTGAATTTGTAATCCTGCCTTAGCCTCCTGAGAACTAAGATCACAGGCATGCGCCATCATGCCCAGGTGAGAAATTTTTTCATAAGTTTCAAGTTTCTTTTTCCTCTTCAGGTCAAAAGTCTCAGCCCTTGTTTTAGGGATAGTACATAGAGCCTCCAGTAATTTTTTAAAATTAAAATTGTGTGTTTCTTTTTTTTTTTATTCAACGAATACTGAACATTACTTTGTTCATGGCTCTGTCTTAGGTGTTCAAATTCTTTTTTTTTTTTTTTTTTTTTTTTTTTTGGTAGCAGGGCTTGAACTCAGGACCTTGTGCTTGTGAGTCAGGTGGCAGAACCACTGAGTTAAATCCCTGGTCTATTAAGTGTTCAAATTCTAAAGCCAATCTGTCACAGTCTCTGCTTTAAAAAGTTCATGCCTATGACAGGTTGTGGAGAGTGTCACAGAACTTAGCTGGAATCTAGCAGAGTGCTTTTTTTGTTTTTGTTTTTTACAGTATGGGGATTGGACCTAGGCTTTGACACTGAACCTACATCCCCAGATCTTTAGTTTTTTATTTTTTGGTACTGGGGATCGAACTCAGGAACTTGTGTTTGTGAGGTAGGCGCGGTGCCACTGAGCTAAATTCCAGGCTCACATCACTAGCTCTTTAAAGCTTTTTCATTTTGAGGTAGGGTCTCACTAAGTTGCCCAGGCTGGGTTTGAGCTTAAAGTCTTCCTTTCTGCCTCAGCTTCCTATAGTTGAGAAATTTTGAGTGCTAAGCTAATGAGCTTGGTTTAGTCACTCATCCCTACAGATAGGAGAGTCAGTGGAGAGTGTATAGTTGGATTGTCAAAGGCTGATTTGTTTGTTCATTCTTTGAGTGATGGCTGAGTTGTATGACTTTGCTAGTGTAGAGCAGAAATGAGGTTGGATAAGAAAAGGCCCATGCTTGATCTTGACTGTGTGGTTCTTGGAGAAAGAGGGAATGTGGTAGGGATTCTTTACTATTTTCCTGAAAATGGCTTAAAAGAGAGAAGTTATGGAGGTGTGTATGCAGTGTGGGAGGAGAAGCAATGGGGAAGCGATGCAAAGGGAGGCTGTTTAGATAGAATACCTATCTAGATTCTGGTGGAATCAAGAGCATAGCCAAGTCCCTTTAACACTGATGGCCCAAACAAAGCCCTGAGCTTAATACAGAAGGGAACTTGCTCAGAAAGTTCTTGACTTGTGGGGAAGAATGACTCCCTGGAGATACAGGTCCGTGCTGTGGCCACATGATCTCTGTGGTTCTGGAGCTGCTAAGTGCTCTGGAGGGTGGGAGGGAATGGAGAGAATCCTTGCTCTATGGATGTAGCAGTGGTCTGCAAACTGAAGGTCTATCTTTTTTGAGCCTCATTCTCCCCAGGCAAAAGAATGAATGAACTCTCATGCTACCCGCTGCCTATTTCCTAAGACCTCAGGACCGCAGTATTTGTGACTCTTTCTGACGTCACTAGACTGCTGACATTTAAGGTTGCCACATCATATCCTGAGTGAGAATTAATTCTCTTGCAGGGACACAGGCTCAAGAACTCTGAGAATCAGACTTATCAGGCCCTGGACAGCTTGAACACCAGCCGGAGAGTGCTCATATCTGGGACTCCCATCCAGAATGATCTGCTTGAATATTTCAGCTTGGTTCATTTTGTTAACTCAGGCATCTTGGGTAAGAGTCCAGCTTTTTCTGTCTCATTGGAAAGGGGCTTTGCCTGGCCTCCTCCTAGGAATGACTTTAGCCAATCTCTTGTAGGAAGTCTTGTTATGGAGTAGCAAAGCCATTGGCAAATTGGCTTTAGCTTTACACAGAGTGACTCAGCAGGGCACACTTTGGCCATTGTCCTTGCAAATGCAGCAGGCCCCTCAGCTGAGTTCTTTCAGAAGAGTTTTGTCCTCAGAGCAGGTGTTTGTCGTCGTTTCCCCCCCACACACACACTGGGAATCAAACTCAACCTTGTGCTTGCCAGGTAGGCATGGTATCCCTGAGCTAACTGTCCCTGGCCCTCTTTTCTTTGTATTTTTTCTAAACCTTTTTTATTTTTATTTTTTCATTACTGGAGATTAAATCCAGGGCCTTTGTAATAAGGTACAACTACCCCACCCACTTGTTTTTTGAGACAGGGTCTCACTATGTAGTTGAGATTGACGTGGAACTCACTGTGTAGCCCAGGCTGGTCTCAAACTCACAGTGATCCTCCTGCCTCACCCTCCTGAGTGCTAGGATTACAGGTGTGCACCACCATGCCCGGCTTCCATAGTTTGATTTTGAAAGATCTACTTTTTTTTTTTGGAGAAGAGTCTCGTTATGTTTTCCAGACTGGCCTTTAACTCACCACGATGCTTAGACTAGCCTTTTGACTCCTCCTGCCTCACACACTTAAGAACTGGGATTATTGGCGTGTGCCACCACACCTGGCTGAGATCTAGCATTTTTATAATAATATAGAATTTTTATTTTTATAATATATATTCTTGTCACTGACCAATCTGCTTTCTCTTATCTTCCCAATTTGCCTGTTCTGTGTATTTCATATAAATGGAACCATATATGTAACTTTGTATGTTTGGCTTATTTTTCCTAGCATAATGTTTTCAAACGTTCATCCACTTTGTAGTTTATATCAGTACTTAATTATGTTAATATATATTATATCATATCTTAGGTTTGTTGGTTTGTTTGTTTTTGATACTGGGGATTGAACTCAGACCTTGCGCTTATAAGACAGGCAGTGGCACCACTGAGGGAAATCCCTGGCCCCTACATCATCTCTTAGAAATGATATATGGTTGCACTTAAAAAAAGAAAAAAGGACTGGGGATTTAGCTCAGTGGTGCTGCCACCTGCCTCACAAGTGCAAGGTCCTGAGTTCGATCCCCAGTACCATAAATAAATAAAACAATAAGTAAGTAAAACTAAGCTGGGCATGGTGGCACATGCATGTAATCCCAGCATTTAGTGAGGTTGAGGCAGGAGGATTGCAAACTTGAACCCAGCTTGGGCAATTTAGTGACATTCTGTCTCAAAATTAAAAATAAAAAGGGATGGGGATGTGGTTTAGTGCAAAGGCCCTTGGTTCAATAATCCCCCCAGTACTGAATTAAAGTATAGTGGGGCAATTACTGTTTTATATTTAGTGTAATTATTATATACTTGGACTTTAATCTGTTTTTTCACTGTTTAGCCTTTTAAGTCTTGTTATTTCTTGGATTTGTTAAATAGAAATAGGCTATATTTTATTCAGCTTTGTTATTCTTGGCAGGGAGGTTAGTTTGTAGTCTGTGAATATTAGCAATGGGGAAATAATTTCTGTTCACATGCTCTAATTTCCTTTTCTCTTGTGTTCAGGGACTGCCCAGGAGTTCAAGAAGCATTTTGAGTTACCAATTTTGAAGAGTCGAGATGCAGCTGCCAGTGAGGCAGATAGGCAGCTAGGGGAGGGGCGACTGCAGGAGCTCATTAGCATTGTGAACAGGTAATGGCTCAGGCCATCTAAGGCCAACCCTCTGGGGAGTTTTGTCTGTCTAGAGGACTGGGGTTCTAAGGGAGTAAAATTTTTTCCTTGACTGTAGCTGTTGAACAGATGGAGTCTTGCAGACTAAATGTCTGCTTTTATTGTGGCCTAGGCCTTCTGGTCTGGTTTTGGTTTGCTTACCAGCCTACTTAGGAAGCTGTTCCCTGAAGTAGTTGGGTTTCCTGAGCAAAATATCCCCCTGGAGCATTGTTAGTCTTCAGAAGCTTTCTGTCAGTTGGTCTCAGACCTTAAAGCACCATTCTTCCCTTCTCAGAACTCCATAGTTCTTTGACAGGTAAGGGTAAATCTTAAAGATGGATACAGTTTCCAGGCTTTCCATGGAGGTCATATAACCTAGGGGCAGGTATATCCCGGATTCTTCTGTTGTAGGTACACACACTTGATGGGTTACATTCTAGAGTGTTTCTGCCCTTTCCAACTGCCTTAGCTTATCCTTACCTATTTTATTTTTTATTCTTTTTTTTGGTTTTTTGAGACAGGGTTTCATTATGTATTTAAGGCTGACCTGGAACTCACTAGGTAGCCCAGGCTGGTCTCAAACTCACAGCGATCCTCCTGCCTCAGCCTCCCGAGTGCTGGGATTACAGGCATGCACCACCACGCCCGGCTATTTTACTTAATCTCATTGAGCCAGGGGGCCGTGTGGCAACAGGTATAGTGGTACCTCAGTTCACGAACTTAATTCTTTCTGAGATTTTGGTTGCAAACTGAATCAGACAAGAGCTGAACCAAATTTAATGGTTAGGTTCAATGTTGACCTTGTGGAAAAATTTGATTAGGTTCTCATCCAATTTGTCTTGTGACTACAATCGTGGAGTGAATTAAGTTTGTGGACCGAGGTACCATGGTTTTTGGGCAAATGCAAGCCAGAAACTCCCATAAGGATTTGGTAATTTGCAGCTTGCTTTTTGTGTGTATGTGTGTGTGTTTGTGGTTTTTTGAGACAGGGTCTCACTATGTAGTCGAGACTGACCTGGAACTCACTATGTAGCCCAGGCTAGTCTCGAACTCACAGCAATCCTCCTGCTTCAGCCTCCTGAGTGCTGGGAGTACAGGAGTGCACTACCATACCCAGCTGTAGCTTGCTTTCTTTGACAGAGCTTCAGGATTAATGGGAGACCTCAGCCTTTTGAAGACCAGTCATCTTGTTGAAGGGAAAAGAGATACCACTATGCTAGGCTATTTGGAAGGTGTCTGTTCCCATGACTGATACCCCACTATATAGATACCTCTGCCATAGGGATGATGGGTTTGTGACATTGTATATTATGAAACAGCTAGTTTTTTGAGTGGCAGCTGCTATTTTAGTAGGTAGCATGGTAGTTTTGCCACCCCTTTCGTATTCTGTTTTTCTCTAGGTGTCTGATACGGAGGACATCTGATATCCTTTCTAAATATCTGCCTGTGAAGATTGAGCAGGTGGTTTGTTGCAGGTACTGAACCCACTGAAAGGGTATGCAATAAGTAGGTAAAAACTTAGCCTCTGAAGCATGACTGGATCTCGGCATGTCCTCAGAGGGCAGAAATGTGGTCTAGCTTTTCCTGCTGACCTAGGTGCCTTTTCTTTAGGCTTACACCCCTTCAGACTGAGTTATACAAGAGGTTTCTGAGACAAGCCAAGCCAGCAGAAGAATTGCATGAAGGCAAGATGAGCGTATCTTCCCTTTCTTCCATCACATCACTAAAGAAGCTTTGCAATCGTGAGTTGAACCCATGCTTTGACGTTCTCTGTGAGAATAAGGGGCTCTTTGTACGTGTTCCAGTAACCTTCACTGAAATTGTCCAGAGACCTCATGGAGGCCATATGTGATTCTAATCCTCCCTACAGTATGAACCCTGCATTGCGATTCTGTAAACTAGACCCTTTTTACACTAGGAAATCCAACCCAGGGCCTCACTTAAGCTAGGTGAATGCTCTACTGTTGAGTTACATCCCAGCCCTAAACTAGACCTTTATTTAGAAAATTTAGTTTATCCTCTTCCCAGCCCATGCTTGATGTTTGAAATGCACCAGACCATGTATGAATGCTTGCATGCATAGTACTTATATAAAATGTTAGGCCAGAGGAAAAATAACAAACCTTCCTCTGCTGTAGCTCCCTTGTTGGGAGAACACACTAGTGAGTGAGTGTCCATCCATGGTTCCAGATGGCATGCAGATCCATCTGTGCCCTGTTGGAACTTGGAAGGGTGGAATTGGAGTCTGGTGCTAAGGAAAGCCTTCTAGCCCAGGCATCTGGAGGGCTTTCTGTTGAGCATTGAAATGGAAACTTCCAGAGAGCAAAGTAACTGACATTTTGGTGTGGTTTGTTGGTTTTTCAGATCCAGCTCTAATTTATGAAAAGTGTGTAGAAGAGGAGGATGGCTTTGAGGGTGGCTCGGACATCTTTCCCCCTGGTTATAGTTCTAAGGCTCTAGAGCCACAGCTGTCAGGTGAGCTCTTTCCACCAGGGTATGGGCTCCTCTAGAAAAAAGGGACGGAAGCAGGGTAGGAAGTTATTTTCATGTTATAGCTGTCTTGTCTCAAGGAAAGATATCAAGGAGTAAGAATCATAGGCCATTGGAACAGCCATTTGGGGACTGATGGTTGCTGTTCTTCTCAGGTAAGATGTTGGTCCTTGATTATATTCTGGCGGTGACCCGAAGTTGCAGCAGTGACAAAGTGGTGCTGGTGTCCAATTACACCCAGACATTGGATCTCTTTGAGAAGCTCTGCCGAGCCCGAAGGTAGGGAAGAGCCTCACCATGCCAGCAAAGACATGTGCTTCCTCCAGTGCCCCTCTAGGAGGATTAGGTATTCTGACTTACAGATATGGGCCAAGATGTGAGTACATGAAGGTTTTAGCTGAAGAGGTCTCTTTCCTTCTTTCTACCATGGTCCTAGTTCCCGTCTCCAAGAAGGATATCCATTGTTCCCTCAGGTACTCTCCACTTCCCCCTCGGGATAGAATCCTAGTCCCCAGCTCCCTTTGGGAGGGGCTCCGGCTATGTAGGAGCAGCCTCAAGCTTGATTAGTCTAGTTCCTCAGTGGCATAGCTTCAGGAGTTCTGCTTTCTTCTTGAGTATTGATCTTTGGACGCCACCCCTTTCAGGTATTTATATGTCCGTCTGGATGGCACGATGTCCATTAAGAAGCGAGCCAAAGTTGTGGAACGTTTCAATAGTCCATCGGTAAATGTGCAGCCTCTGTCCACAAACCAGCGATATGGTAACATCAGGATTAAGGGTTGATAGAGAAGTTGTAAGGGTAGATGTGGTCAGGTTGGAAATTGATTTTGTGGGTTGGGAAATTGGCTAGCAGGCAATCTAGTTACCCTTTCAATTGGTGTGGATATGAGAATAGAAGCTTGAGAGAAGAGTTAGCTGTGCTGAGCTGTCTCAGTTTTAGCTGTAAGAGGTTGTCTTTCCCCTACATCTTTTCTTTCCAGAGCCCTGATTTTGTCTTCATGCTGAGCAGCAAAGCTGGGGGCTGTGGCCTCAACCTTATTGGAGCCAATCGGCTGGTCATGTTTGACCCTGACTGGAACCCAGCAAATGATGAACAAGCTATGGCTCGGGTTTGGCGTGATGGTCAAAAGAAGACCTGCTATATCTATCGCCTGCTGTCTGTAAGATTGGTGATGGTGGTCAGAGGTGGGGGAGGGTCATGGAACAAGACCTTCAGGGCCATCTTTTTTTTTTTTGGTGGTGGTGCTGGGGATCAAACCCAGGGCCTTGTGCATGCTAGGCTACATACCACACTACTGAGCTACATTGCTAGCCCTTTTAAGACCATCTTGAATTGTTTCTTAGTTGCTCTCTTTGGCCCCTCTGTAGCAGCGTTATGGGTTTAACCATAAGCCCTTTATTCTGTTCTCCCTCTCCTTTCCACCATGCTTTTTACTGTGCTCTCCAGGTGTTTGTTCAGTAGTACGTTTCTTTTCTCGGGGTACCATTTTTTTTTTTTCCATACCCAATTTCTCCTGCATCACTGTTCTTGTTATCTCATACTCTGTGTTCCATAGGGTTTTAAGGAGTGGTAATAGTATTTTCAGCATCACCGTAGTTCCATCCCATAGTTTCTCTTTCTGTAGCTCTTGTCTGACTTGACTACTTTCTTTTTCTCTTTGTGCAATCATACCTCTGCTGTGTTCCTAATTCATCATGATTTTGGACACTGGCTATTTCCCAAATCCAGCAGTCATTTTGCCTGACCTTTAGGACCATGCAGTTTTCCAGCACTCTGGCCTTCATGTTTCCTTGACTTTATTTCTCATGACCTCAAGTCCTCTCATCTAATACCTAAATCCACACTGTGGAACTTGTTAATACCCAAAACTTTAATAAACTATTATCCTACTCTCACATCCTGTCCTTCAGCTGATAGCTACTACATCTACGTTAACCTGGTGCCCCTAGAACCTCTCCCATCCCCCTTTTCCCCAGTCTGGTTTGGGTCCCTTTTTCATCCAGCATGAGCCTCACTGTGCATCCTTTCAGCCACTCTGTTCCCAGTATCCTTCTACTTGAGTCATTTCAGCTGTTCTTAGCTCCATACCAACTAAAACTTGTATTTATAGATTGGGCCCACCACACATTCATGGTCTTCCTTTTTAGACTAGCCCATATCTTATCCCTTCAGCAACCACTATAAGCCTTCACCTCTTCCCTTAAGTTTCCTATCTAACCCTGGCTTGTTCTTTTTAAGACTTTGTCTTCTCCTCAGAGAAAAACATAGGCTACTAGTTATGAATTCTCTCAAGTCCCTTCCTTCTTTAAGTCTCTGTACCTGATTTTCCCTTCCCATTTCTGAGGATACTCTTCCTCTCTGAGGCTCATTCTTTTACCTCTGTTCGAAAGCCCTAGTATAGGCATGTACTACTATGCTTCCACCTGGATTTCTTAAGAACACTTTATTTGTTCCCCTGCTAGAGTCTGTCATTGAATGGCACCATTATTCACCTAACCCAAGCCTGGAAATTTTCCAGCTGAACTATTTTCTGCCTCTTATAACCAGATTCCTACCATTTACCACTAATTTTATCTTCTTGATATTTCCTTATATTTAACCCTCCTCTCCATCACTTGCAAAGGTTATAGTCAGCACTCACTTGGATAGTTTTTTTTTTTTTTTTTTTTTTTTTTTTTCATTCCTTTGTTCT